AAAAATATTTTTTAAATATTTATTAAATATTTTTACATTAAATAAATATTTAAAAAACGTTTTAAAAACATTGTCTGCTGATTGGCTAGATTTAATTAGCATTTATACGTCAAATTATTTTATATTATATGTAAAGAATTTGATTGGCTGATCAGTTTACGTACACGACGCACTATTGCAGAACAGACTTGCAAATTAGCGTTCTACGTGTATGCGCCAATTTGAATTAATTAACAATGTTTTTCCCAAAGTTCTCTTTCTTCGCATCTTTCGTACGTAAATTTTTACACTTCTACTTAAATTACTATAAAAAAAGTATTAACTAAATTGTCGTAGTTGTTCAAAAACGCAAGAAAAAGAGTTTAACTCCCGTCAATTCAAATCGTTCATATTTCAAATTATCTCAGTATTGCGCAGGCGCGGCCGTTAAGGCGTCGTTACAGATTCCACTGCTATTCTCTAACATATAGTACTTAAAATTGACATTTATTTACATTATGTAGTGTAATTTACAAGATTCCTCTATCAGCAGTGTGTATGTGTGTAATCGAATCCAATATATTTCGATAAAATTATTGAATTTGTAACTGCGCATGCTCGGACGTTCGACGGTCGCATGTAAAGACACCTTACTCCGGCCGCCATGACAGTTCGGCGGCTCATTTAGTTCGGACGGAGAAGGCAGTTGCTCCGTGATTAATCGCGAATTTATCGGTCGGGAACGCGTTATGGACGCGAATTTATGTCGGGAGTGCCGATTAAAGTGATGAGTGTATGACTGCCGCGAGTTCGTTGTGTATAATCGAGACCGTGCCATGATATAAACATCGAAACGAGTGCGAGAAGGAGAACGTCGTTCTCTGTTTTGGGCGCGCAATACCGAGTCGTGCGTTCTTTTCGGACAGTCGGGACACGATCGACGTTAGAGACGTGATGTGTCGAAGAAACAGATCGTTGTAAATATACGCTTAACAGAAATAATCTACGTCGCAGGACGAGCGTGATTCATTTGGACGTTGCAACGTTGGTCGCGTTCAACTAGCTCAACCGTTGCGTAGCGCTCGCTGCTATTCGTGTATTCTTCTAGAGCGTCCAATAGCAACGAGCGTTCACGGATGCTCAGCAACAGTTGCGTTTGCTGAACGCAATCATTGGCGTGAAATCGCGTTCCTTCGATGATAAAACGCGCGAATCAAGTTTTGAAATTGCGCGTAGTGAAACATCCGTATCCGGTGTTCATCCTTTTCTGGAATCGATGCGGGCCTTTCCGAGGAGGAACTTGCGAGGAGATGAAGTAAACTACAATGCCCTAGCTGGTCAGCTATTAATTGATTATTTAGATTCACTTTTTAAATTAATATACGCCTAATTACGATTGCGGTCACTTACAAAAAATTTATTGAAGTATTCGAAAACGTTTATTTAAAAAAATATTTTTACGCTTCACGTAAAAAATTCGTTGAACATTTCTTGAAATAATTAAATAAAAAAGATTAGATAATATATATACATATATAATTGAAGGTATGGGCGGAATAAAGGCACAATTCTACTTGGCCTTTTTTCGGCGATTAGCTTTTTTATGTAATATTGATCGTAATAGAGAAGTATTATGACACGTAACTTCTCTTAAAGACATTACACAAATCATTTGATATTGTATCCATTTATGTATAATAAAAAAGTATTGTAATTTTTATTAATATCAAGATTTTTTCCTCTCAGTTGACATATGAAGTGAATAAAATGTCAGCGTATGAAATTCAAAATTAATTGGAATGTATTATTAATTTTTTCAGATGCAGCTGAGAGCGTACTTAGCTAGGGTACAACGCCGGTGAGTGAATTTATAAATAGAATTTTATTATATTTTTTTACATGTTAATATAAAACTGTGATGTCTCATCAATTTCATATGCTTTGAGTACAACGAACGTGATGCTACACAAATGAGGGGCAGACTTTCGAAATGCGTTTTGTCCAAAATTTCATTTTTTTTCTTTTAGTTAGAGATGGCGTAGTGTTCAGTGTTGAATGACTTATAAGCTACTCCGAGATGTTCAGAAAGCATTTTTTCATCGTTAATTTATATGCTGAAAACACAGACATTTTGAAGTGTATTATATTTTTTAACTAGAAACAAACAAAATGCATTTGTTTAACATCTTTAGCAATTATTGAGCAATTTTGTTTAATAGTTCACATCCTACTGATTGACATATTATTATTTTTTGTAAAGTACGTAATTTTGTTGTGTGCGTAATTTTTTTCTTTCTCGTTTTCCGAAAATTACAAATTTTGGACAAAACACATTTTGAAAATCTGCTCCTCAAATGCTTTGAAGCTTTTTTTGATTGGTCAGTCAAACAAATGCTTCAAAGCAATTGTAGTGAGACTTTTGACTGTTCTCATTTGTTACCCAATTATTACAGTAACTTAAAACAATTCTATTAATTAAATTAGTGGTTAATTTAATTATTAGCAGCGTCATTTTGTTAACAAAGATAACATTAACTTATTTAATATGCGGAAAAGAGATTAGACAATTTTTGCGTGGGTCATTTATTGATGTACATGTCTCACAACTAGAGACAGTTGCCACATTTATACATTATCGAAAATAAATATTATCTGTAAATGATATCACGAAAAAAATGCGTTAAATACAATTATATCTATATCTTTTTATTTAACATACACAGTCTGAAGGCGTAGAGATTCCTGAGCATTGTATATATACAGTCCAGAGAAGTTGTTGAAAGAATAAGGACTTTGTAACATTTGAAAATAGTATCCTCGTCACATACATATACATATATACATATATACTATAATTAACGAATCATAAACAGTTTTTTCTTTTTTATCAGTCGTGGAATTATTTGAATGTGTCATATGAGTGGTTCCCAAATTCTAAAATATTGCTACATCGATAAATTGGTTAAAATAAACAAGACTGTATATAGCATGTGCCATAACAATGCCTCCAATAATTTCTTCAAAATATTTTCAAACATCATTTATGTAATAATAAATAGTAATTGAAACTAGGTCTAAATTTAACGTTATCTTTTTATATCACATTTGCATGGCGCTTTAATATACATATATGCAATAATTTTAATCAGATGAAACATGATGAAACTTGAAATTAAGTTATATAAATTTAAAACTTTTTTACAATTAAGAATATTGCAAAGTCCGACGTAATAATTGATCAGCCAACAAGCAAGTTTATAATGGACAATTTTTAGGCTTTCTTTTATCACACGAATTACATATATTATTACATGTAGTCAATCAGCAATTTGTAGAATAAATTATTGCAATATAATAATTTGATCGTATGTCACATTTATAAAATTGACAAGAAGAGGTATTCTAAGATATAAATTGATATCGAGTCCTTAAAAAATTTACGTAAAGTAAGTACAGTATACCCTGATTACAGTATTCACAAAATTTAAGTGATTACAAAATGTTTGTAATCACTTAAAAATATATATAATTAATTTGGAATTAATTTGGATTAGAAATTAATTTGAAATAATTTGTGCGTATATGCTGGATAAATGGTAGACAATCATTTTGCTGAGATAACAACAGCTCCAAGTTATTTTAAAATTGAACAAATAATAACGATAGAATAAACTGAATAGGTAAAAGATACAAAAATAATAATTAATAAACAAATAAGTTACTATAAAGGATCTGCCATAAATTATATTAGGACGATTTGGTCCCCAAATATGGGCCCTATCTCATTAACGAATTAGATTCAAATGCATTCGAATACGTAATCTGCAGAAACGTTTAGATTTTGTCTAATTCTCTATGATAATATAGAATCGATCTATTTGTGCCAAATGACACTCTTTAACATATTATAACTTAGATGCCTCTTTGTCAGGAATATTATTTAATTCTTTCTTCCAATAATATAAAGGAGGCCCTGCGGTGAAGCAATATTTCCGTTCAAGCGGAGTGCCTTCCTTGACATAATACATAATATACATATTACACATTTCATCTTCGTTCGTTCCACCTATAAACGTAGTTCTATCGCGCGTACTTTGCATTGTACAACGAGCAGCTAATTTATCACCATACGTAATTGGAACTCTATTGGTAACGGGATAAAACATCTGAGGAGTCAGTGGATCTCTCTTTCCAAGTTCGATCCACTTGTCATTCGGCTTTATTACATAGCCAGAAACGACTTTTCCAAGCGAATGCGTATGTGTTCTATATGCGAATGGATAGATAGTTTTCTTTTCTGTTATAGGACAAGATGATTCCATATGTACTGTTGATCTAGGTGGTATGACTCCACTTGTTCCTAACAAAATAACTCCAGCTAGTTTGTTCATTTTTTGCGTTGTATAATGCAGAAATACACCTGAGTCATCTGTCCTGCCATCCTTAAAGCGGTCAATATGTGCATAATGTACTTGTAACACAATATATTGTATGGGAGAATCGCCGCCTACTTTAAAGCCCACTCCTTCTGGTAGATCTAATTTAGGAGCATCTCTTGCCCATGCATAAATGATCTATATAAACAGATGAATTTTTTTCTTCAATGGTATTTAAAATATATTCGTAAAATATATTTGGTGATCTTAATATTACCTGAGTTCCTTCTTTACAAGCGGGTGCGGTATCTACCAAATGTCCAGCATTCGCCATTTCTCCACAATTCCAAATTGGTTTTGAGCTACCCGGTTTAGTGCATCCATAGATAAGCATATGGTGAGCTGTTTCCATTGTTGCATTTGGTTCAAAACCAATAATGTAATAATTTTTTACGTAGTCTATCCTAACTGGAGTGCATAAATATAATTCAGGCTGTAAACAAAATGTATCAGATACAATTTTTATTCTTAAAAAAATTATATTTAAAAATTAAAAGATTATTGTATTATAAATTAGCACTGTAAATGAAATTAAAATTAAATATAATGTATTTGCAAAAAGAGTGTTACTTGTTTGACTTTTATACACTTTATTTTAATATGTAGCACAAGCCATATATTACAATATAATTACATCGTATTATATTATATACTCAGTCGTATATATGTATGTATGTATGTGTCATTCGTATGTTATAACAAAAAATTAAAAGATTATACTTACCGTGTTCGGTTTCACATTTGGCATTAGCAACGAGTATCTCTTGACGTCGTAACAATACGTGAATTTAAAAAAAATTACGAACGCAAAGAAGCACGTAAACACACGTTTCTGCAACATTTTCGGGCGTTAGCGTTTTCCACACATCGGCTTTTATCAATGCTATGATAAGGTGTGTACCACCTGTCAAATGCTACAGGTCGGTCGATACGACACCTAGCTCAACCTAAGCCGAGCCGAATGACGCAAATAGCAAATGGATATTTTTGGAATTGTAACATTCTGTGGTAGTGGTGACATCTTACGAGAACACGTACATACACTTTGTCATACCGGTAATTCCGATTGCCTTAATATATGATACCAACAGGGCTTGATACTCCTATATTAATTACATTCGATGATTAATTAAGAATCAGGATGTTTACTACTAATATGTGTCATAATAAGTTATGTAATATATTTTATTAATTTTACTAAAGGGTGTAGTAAAATTTCAACATTTTAAAATATGTTACGCAGTTTATTATCGGTTATTTTCGTTGTCGAGTGTGTCTCTAGCTACGCTAGAACTTACTCACTTCAAAACATTTTACAATCTGCATTATAATTTTTACTACATCATTTATAAAAAGTCTCTTGTATATTTCAAAAAATCTATCGTTACTGATAATATTTCATTATTGTCAAGTTGTCCCAAGCTTATTACCAGACATGATGAAATTTGTAATGAATTTTGCGTTATTTAAAAAATAACGAAAAATTCTCTCCGTGTAAAAAACCTACAATTTTCAAGGAATTTTTTTTTACTCTTAAAGATCAGGGATTTTTATGAAATTTTATCTGTATTTGGAACAATTTTTTTAATTTACCTAAATTATGCCTCTTTGAAAATATCATTTTTTAAATAATTTTTTTCTGGATGCGAAATGTCAACAATTGATTACCAATAAGCATGGCATATATACGTCCGCGTATGTTCATGTATATATTATAATATGTCTCGCGAGTTTTTATTTAAAAAATGGAAGTGACAGCAGAAAACAATGTACAGCAGAAGTTCACTGTTCACTATTGTATATAGTCAGCCTTTTCTGTATTCTGATTTCGCAGCTCAATTGTAGAAAAAAAAAAATATAGTCTCGTGGAGTTCTTGTTTTTTACGAATGTACAATATACATATGACGTTTACATATTATTTACATTCTAATTCATTTTAATATAATTATTTATCATTTCCATTAAATATAAAAAATTCTCTGATCTTACCTGTAGTTTGAATGAACCTAGAAAATCCGGGGACTCTCGGGGAATCTTTTTGCATCTAACACACTCTATTTCAATTGACAGAATTGCCTAAAACGAAATTTCTAACTAATTAATATAATTTCACGCGTTTGCAAAGTGCACCGATCGCGCCTCGGACATCTCCTGCGAAGTACGTCGACCCACCGATGCACTCTCGTAATTGAATGCAGCAGTTGTATCTACAACGAACTGCATACTACGAACGATATTGTATCACGGATATGGTCCGACGTTAATAAAGTTCTCTTGGCCGCTACATATACAATTGACTGTTTTTTGTTTGCATATGCATATGTACCGGCAAATTGTATTGCGGCGTTATTCTGTTCATCACGTGTACGCATACTACATATTGACTGCATACCTCGTTCTGTTTCTAGATGTTCTGCACTCAGTATTATGTTTTTATCTCGCCAGAATTTCAGAATTAATTTTATATTTGCCGATTTATCTTATGTGACGTAACGTACCACTTTTTATTGCTTAAAATAATTTATTTAGATTTAATTATCTTTTATTCCATGACAAAGGAACGTATGTATCGTAGCAAAAACAATAAAACACGAATGAAATACTGAAGATTCAGCAGGCAATATAATGACAATTTTAATAGGTCTGTGAAAACGAGTCGTGAATTCCACGATTTAAACTAAGTATGAACGTTTGTTATGTGCAATTCGCGGTTTCATTAAACATAAAGGGTCCATCAAGAGAAAGGTAGAGTCTCGTCAAGATTTTTAATACCGCAATAAAGCACGTCTTGCGCGGCTTTACGTCAGATTTATCGTGCGCACTTTCTATAACAATCTTGCTCGTCTCTCGCTCGTATTTTCTCAGAGTCTCCTACCGTCGATCGATCGACGAAAAGCCGACGAATTAATACAGTTTCACGATGAGCCCGATATATTGAACCGCGCTAAGCTGTTGTTATGTCTTAACGCACGGACCGTGACAGTAAATTAGCTGACCCTCGATTAACCGTTATACACCGATCTTATTTGCCGATTACGAAATTACATTCGTGGAACTTGATGAGAGGATCGATCACGAAGTTCAGCTATTTATAAGCGATAGATGGTATGTTTAAACGACGAGAGGAATTAATTGACCTAAGTGGAGCTGCGGGAATTGACTAATCGATTATCTTACAATGTGTGCTCCCGTTTTGTGTGTTCACGTTGTGCAGAATTATTAGCGATATATACCTTCCGCGTGCAGTATGTTACCAAATAAACTTTGCAACCATTATTTGGATTTTGTATTTTTATGTTGTATTTTTATTATCGAGTTTATTTTATTCATCGTGAAAAATAAACGTCAATAATTCTTATATTACAATCGTAATGAAAAAAATCCTCTCTTCATGCATTAGAAAGGAAAATAAATAATAAAAAAATCTTTTTTGTATTATTTTATACCAATTTCGAATAGAGTTTTTATTGTCACAAAAATTGACTGTAGCTCTTAATTATGAATGTACAAGGTGTTGAGCGTTGAAAGTTAAAAACGACAAGATTATGAAAAGATTATATATTTAAAATTGTTAATATTGATTTCGAAAATTAATTATAAAAATGCTACAAATATTATATAAGTAATTTTCTGAATAATTACATATTTGAATCTTAATAAATTGGATATTTTTGGAAATAAATCCTGATATTAACTTCTAATAAAATGAAAATTAATTGAAATGTGACGTTCTCTTAGTTTTTGGATCAGTTACGAATTTCACTAACATTTTGAATTTTATGGATGTCATTTTTATGTCATTTCTATTGTCGTTGAATCGACAGTTGTTAAAAGTATGCCGACAACCAGCGTACGTTTTTGGAAAATAAATGACCGGTGAAAGTGCAGCAAGCGAGTTGAAGAATCTAACGGAGATGTGGTCGACAATTTTAAGAGCCATTGATGAGAATCGAAAGAGCTAATAATGTCTTCTCTTTCTTTCTTTTGCTCTTCATGCTTGTAACGTCTGCCTTATACACATATGATAATTTGTAGCTGTGTCAGAGCTGAAAATCGTCCACGTGGCAATCGTTAAATTATGTTGCGATTAATTATGCACTGTAACAGAATTTGTAAATCTGCAGCTAACTATTGATTTGCAGTTGAATTTTTATTTCTGTGCCTATAGAGAAAAGTTGCATTTGAAATTAGGTCAGAGGATGATTGTTAAATAATAGCTCTGTTATCTTTATCATTAAACAATAGGCGATTTGATAACATATGCATTATGTGTTCTATGTTACATATAATTTGCATATTAATTTTTGCCAATTATTCCGCATTTATCGCTTTAATTTATTTAGATCGAATTGTTCCGTGAATGCTCTGCACTAATGGATTTCACGCAACGATGATCAGCTAACGATTAACGCGGAAATCGCTTTCGTTTCTTCCGATATGACCTACTTTACGTACCAAGGAATGTCAGTGGGGAAGTGTTTTAGATTTTCGATGAACGAGTAGCGCGACGTATCGCCCACCTGTAAAATCGAAAACCGGTTTTGTTCATTACATCGCACGTCGCACTCTTGCACGCGTCTCCTTCAGTAGAAGTTCGTGCCAATATAGGCGGTATATCTGACGCTAAATCGATAGTCATCTTTTGTGTGATGAATGAATATTCTCGGCAGAAACTTGTATCTGTTTTAATGATGCTAATTTTGGAGATGTCTGAAAACTAGTATTTATATACGTAGTTAAAACATTATTATATATAAGGATATTAAAATTAATTAAATTTCTTTGATAATTTAAAATCTTTTATATTTAAATTATTTACTTATATCAGATAAACAGTATAGAGATAAACATTATTAAGTTTTTTCAAAGTTAAATTAAGGGAAATACGCTGCCTTATTTTTTTTACTTTATATCTTAACACATCTGATTTGAAGTAATTTTATATAATTAATAAAACCATAAAATATGTATTACAGGCAATAGGAGTCGACGCTGGTTATCAGTTAGCGCAATTTTTCGTAATACTAAATATATAATATTATATAATATTATATATTTAGTATTACGAAAAATTGCGCTAACTGATAACCAGCGTCGACTCCTATTGCCTGTAATACATATTTTATGGTTTTATTAATTATTTTAATATTAAAGGAATTTGTAAAAACTTATTAGTTTTTATATTAATATGTAATTTATCATTGTTAATTTTATATAGTTAAATCAACATTTAGCATTTTTTATTTTAATTAGATTAAATTTTAATTAAAAACAATTTTTACCCAACATTGAATTTTTATTACTATAATAATTGATGACGAAGAAATATCGAAATTAGACATCACAGTATCGCATAACGTGCAAATATGATAAAATCCATTTAAGTATACGCTTGTAAAATTGAACTATATTTATATTAAGTAAGACTCAGATTTAATACGGGAGAAGTGTGAGAGAGATGTGGTACTGTTGTAGAAAAAGTGCAGAAAAGGTACATGAAAGATGTGAAAGAGATGCCAGAAGGATGAGAGAGAGATGCGGAAAAAGTACAGAAGAGATGCAGTAAAAGTTCAGAAAAGATATAGAACAAGTGTAGAAAAGGTGTCGAAAAAGTGCAGAAAAGGTGTAGAAAAAGTACAGAAAAAGTGCAGAAAAAAAATGTAAAAAAAGTGCAGAAGAGGTGTAGAAAAGATTCAGAAAAAGTGTTGAAAGTGCTGAAAAAAGGTGTAGTAAAAGGGGACAAATTTTGCGAAGATGACGACGACGACGTATCTGAATGAATAAATGACATAAATTGGGCTGAAAAATACGTGCACATATTCATATCTAAGCATCAAGTACACTTATGGACATGATTATTATCTCATTTTAATTGTAAAAATCTATATTCGTCCCCAATATATGCATTTTTTAATAACATCAATTTGT